TATCAAATACGGTTTCTTTTCGACGATAGTACAGAGGTTTTGTAAACCGAACATCAATTTATTTGCATCTCGAACCAATTTCAAATGTTTGCGTGGATATAAAGCAATACCTCGTGGATAAGCGATTGAGAAGCGTTAGTTATTAACGCGTTTACTTATTGCTGGAAACAATTTTAATTTTTACGCAACTTCTTCGTTCGCGACTATACTTCAAGTAAAAAAAAAAAAAAAGTGAGATTGGAAGGTTCGAGAGATATTGAAGTGACCCCTAAGTGGCCGGTTCGGGCATGAGACCCAGTGTACTTAATAATCTTGGATTCTGATTTGTTTTATTTGGAACCGGGTAAATATTTTCTGTGGTTCCTTGACAGGAAGTCATATCTTTTCTGGAAGAGGATTATCCTGATTGTCGGGACGCTGCCAGAGAAGCGTCCGAGCTAAAAGACGTAGAAGCGACAGACATCATGTTTTCTTCGCGGATGGAGCCTTTGATTAAAAGGTTTCAAGGAAGTAAAGCCTCTTCTGGGCATATCTGATAGTTGTACATAATAATCTTGGATAAGTTTTATTATTATAAAATCCAGAGGTGGTGGTAATCATAGCACAGAAAGATGTGCGCTGCTCTAATGAACCAAAGATCTGAGTTCAAGTTTGACCAGAAATCATTGATTTTTATTCGCCACCTCTCAGAAGAACTTATTTAGTGAATAGGTTGCATATATATATATATATATATATATATATATATATATATATATAGGTACACCAACAAACGCCTTGGAGGTTAATCTCAATTTCTGGTCTAAGGTCTATTGCACACAAGATGCGAGAATGAAGAGAAGTTAGAAAGCTGCATCCTAGCATGCCACTGGCCAAAATATGATTTTGAGTATCCCAGGGTTGTATTGGATCATGGCGCTGGAGTGATATAAAGACATAACGGTAGAAAAACTATCTTAACAGTAGTAACGCTGTTTGACAACGTAAGTAGAATTGACACGGATGTGTCCAGTGCATATAGCACCCGCGATGCCTCAACTTCGGCCGATAAGTGAAGTGGCGTCATCATAGACGTTGTTAGAAAGGTGGCAGGGTGGTCGAGAACGTTTTGCAAAGCTTTGCAAAAAAAAAAAAAACAATTAGAGCCGGGCGCAGTAAATGGTGCGCAAGATATTAATAATAATTGAAATATATATTGTATATAATTAAAACATATAAATATATCACTAAATCTATCCTTAGCTATACAAATTAAGAATTTAATTGTCCTTTTGTTTAAATTCTTTGGTTAAGTGGATATACGCTAAATGCGGCAAAAAATTGTAAATGTATAAATTTTTGTTGTCCTGTTCACGGAATCTCAGGCATAATCTATCTGCCGTAATAACTTTAAACAGTTACCATATGATCTCGAGGAAGAGGCGCGCAATACAATTATATGATTAAACAAACTTACCTGTAAGTGAAGTTTTATCATAATTGTATGAAGCGCCTCTTTCGAAGAGATCGGTCCCACCCAGTATATACCCAATTCTAATATTATTAGAACTCTAAATATTACGGCAGCACTTTAAATAAATGACCAACGGAACGGGAAGCTAACCCTATAGCGGAAAGTTTTAGAACTTTAAAACTGTGGTGCATCGGTACATAGTAGGGGCTACTACCATATGATCTCTTTGGAAGAGGCGCTTCATACAATTATGATAGAACTTCACTTACAGGTAAGTTCGTTTAATCATATAATTTTAATGACTGAAGCGCCGCGCCGCGTTGCGCTGTGCTCACGTCTCTAGTTCGACCAAGCGTAGCGTGGCGCATCGATTTCTTCGTAAATCTTTTGTAGGAAGAATATACAGTATAAATAACATAATTTATAATGTTGAATATAATCAACATTATACAAATCACATTTTTATTATAAATATTATATTTTGAAAATTGTGTAGTATTTTTGTTTAAGTAAATCGTTACTGTACTGTATAATTTAATTTTTCTTTCCGTTTTGAATTGCTGTGATTTTTTGTAACGTATGTTACGGATGCTCTAATCTTTTAATCCTTCTTATCGGGAAATTCTTATAAACAATAAACACAGACTTTTGGCGCTCTACGGCAAGTCTCTCGATCTTTAAACCTGTGAGTAAACTCTTTTAGTGTTACTGACAGCCTTAGCATTATCTAAATCTAACATCTATTTCATGAAACCGAACAAGGGACACTTCCTTCCAATCCTAATATTGCTGAGCATATTTTGTTTCTTCAAGCATTTACTGATTGTGATACCACTTCAACATTTTTCTGGCAGGGTAAAATAAAATTTATTAAACTGTTCTAAAAAGATGAAAATTTGCAAAATATTTCAAAAATTTTTGGAGATACGGATGCTCATCCAGATTACATTGACATAGCAGGACAAAAATGTATTCTTGCTGAGTATCGATTTTCATGCTTCGCCAAATCTACGTCGAAAGTAATGTTCAATATTGCTTCTATACCACCTACTGAAGCAACTGCACGTCAACACTCTCTCAGAGTCTATCATCAGATTCAGCAGCTAGTAGCGCGGAGTTAAAAAAAAATCCTCAAGATTGAGGCTGAAAATATACAAAAAATTGTTTATTTTCAGTTCTTTCAATGAAGGAAGCCGCTCCGCAGGATATTCTGAAGAAGATCTTCTGCAAATGCACAAAAGGCTGCAAAGCGAATTGCTATTGCAGAAGAGCTGGATTGCGATGCTCTGTGACTTGTTTCAACTGTCGAGGTTAAGTATGCACAAACATCGACATTATAATATAGATCACTGTGACAATGAAAAAATCGACGTAACTGTTCAACATTTTGAGAAGACATTAACCGATCCTGACAATGAGATTGATTCAAACAACGAGGAAGAACCAGAAGAAGCAGAGAAAGAAGATAATATTGAGAAAAAGGAAGATGCTGCGGAAGATGACATTTGCTAACCCTCTACATAAAAACCCTTACAAAAATATTTCACCGCTTTTACACCTCATATAAATCGTTTTTAGCCCGTTTTATCATTTTTGTGTCCGTTTCTTGCACTCTCAAGCACGCGCAGTCTACTGCGAAAGAACGTGATGAGTAGGTATATGCGAGTATGCGTATGAGTATTTTTGAGTAGATTGTCCGTTTTTAATACTCGTTTTTCAATCAATGAGTGACAACGTTAATACGTTCCTTTTTTACTCACAAGGATGAGGACACAGTAGGTTGTCCGTTTTCAATACTCATTTTTCAGTTGATGAGTGACAATACGTTAGTACGTTCCTTTTTTACTCACAAGAAAATATCCGCGGATTTCGCCCGATTTTAACCCTTATGGTACATACAGGGGGATTTAGAGTCAGCTCGATTTCTATCCATCAAAATTTCTCATAAATTCTGAAAGACTCCCACTCCTTATCTCCTCCTTATCTCTAAATTGAAGTACATTTATTCTACAAACTTAAAAACCTTTTCAAAGTGTACCGTAAGGGTTAAATGTTTTAGTACTTACACTATTTATCCTTCACTAATATAGATAAATGGTACAATGTAATATTCAAATATTCGCGAGAAATTTGCATTGAACGTTTCTATAAGTGCAATATCCCGTGTAAAAATTTGTTAGGGATGGCCTTACATAACATAAAGCCCCGATCATTAGTTATTAGGGATGCCATAAGAAAGGTTTAAGAATTTTAACCTAATGAGGTCCCGATCATTATTTATTAGGGATTCTATAAGAAAGGTTTCAAAATAAATAATTTTTTTTATGTCGGGTGAATATCGGAAATCAGTGTCGGCTCGATACTGGCTCGATACTGGCACGTAGCATTGGACCGGTGTCGCACACAGCACGTGTTTACCACTCAAAAATACTCATAAGAATATGTTATTACTACTCGGATATACTCGTACGCAATCCGCTTTAACCACTCGTTTTTAAGCAAAAGGGACTTTTTGCGCCTCAAAAACGGGTCGTACTCATTGAACCAAATGCACGTTTTTACTACTCAAACTGACCGTTCTTGCGGTCCAAAAACGGTGCAAAAACGGTGAAAAATTTTTATAAGAGAAAGAACAAGATTTGAATAATTAATTTTTGTACTTCTCTGACTGCTGCGCTTGAGGTGAGCTCTCTCCTTTCTCTTTCTGTTTTAACAATTGACTAAATATATTTTTTCTTTTCAGCGGAAATGTCCACTATAACCGTGTGTACCAGCTCGCTTGTCACTACATCTCCTTAAGAAGGGAACTTTCTGCCTCGAGCTCTGCAGGAATAGAATCTTATTATCTCAATAAATGGTGAAGATGACTCGAAAGAAGAGCCGAAACGTTCATCACATCTGAATACACGGTTTTTTTCTTTTTTATTTGCGAACCACGTTCCGTGCCTGATTTGCATTTGCCGTTTTAAATCGTTGACACTTTCACGAGTTTAATTATATTATTGAATAATTAAGACAACCCTGGTAAAAAAATTCTCATAATCTTAATAAGTGAATTAGGCCTACAGGGGACACCACATAAAAAAAAAACGCGCCACTAACTCTACCGCAAGGTGGTGAGGAAACGAGTTCAAAAGTACACTACAGTCTTTGAGAAGTGAGATACGGCAAGATAAAGTTGCTGAAACCGTTTGTTACAAAAAGTATCCTACTTTTCCCAGTTCTAGCGCCAAAACTATTGGTCGTAAGAAAAAACCTATAATTTTTTTTTGTAGAGAATTTAATTCCCTACAATATTTTATTAAACTATTTTAGTCTAAATCTAATGGAAACCGAGATATTCGCAAAAAACCGATTTTTCACCCCTTTTTTCCAAGATGGCGGCCAAAGCACACCACGGGGAAGGTCGGAAACTTAGTATGTCATTACTGACACCCAAACAAAGCGATTAAAATTTTTTGCAGTTTTGTCCTAATTAGTCGATTTTCAAATGTATTTGCCGATTGGACTAGCGAGGGAACTTAAAAAATTTTCACTTGGATGGCGCCGGAGGTAACGACCGCGGCGCGAAAGCAACTCGCTGCGAGGGGGGACTTATTGTTAGAAAACTTTTGCTGAGGCTGCGCCGAAGGTAACGACCGCAGCGCGAAATCAACATTCCGTGAAAAGATTTAGAAAATTTTTGCTCGGGCGAGCGCTATAGTAACATGTGCTGCCGCGACGCGGCTACATGCGCCAGTACCTTCTCATAAGCAAAAATCCTTACGCACTAGGATAAAAGGCAAGCCTGTGAGATACTTGGCTCTAATATTTTTCGTGATACCTTCGAAATATCATACAGTGCAGAGATGGCAAAATGCAAAATATTGGAATAGTATCAAAGTATAATTTTAAATTTATTGCAAATTTTTATAAAAAAAAAACTTCTTTTATATTTAAAGGACAGAATTAATGACAAAAATAAATTTCTTATGAACTCTTAAGAATTATTTTAGAAGAAAGAATAAATACGGAAAAAGAATTAATTTCATAAATCGAGAATTTAAAAAAAAATTCTTCTTTTCTTCTTGCTATTTAGGTTGTATGTAACATATCTGCTTTTAAATGAGGCATAAATATCCGACATATATGCAGAATCAGATATCATATCCGAGATAAAATTATCATGGTTTTTTATAATCTTGGAGATGTCTCTGAGATATTCTCATGATATCTTGCGCAATCAGATATTCCGTCATTCAGATATCTTCTAAATATTTTGGTGATATATTTTGCTGTGTGGGTAAACATCAATGAACAATATATAATATATCATAAAGAAAACTCTGTACAAGATATTAAGATTGGAAAACATCTTTCCTTAACCTCTATTGACAGTTTTCTTACTTTTGCGGAAATTCTAAAAAATGACCAAGAAGCTTTTATGCAAGTCGTAAGTAAAGCTGCTTATTATTATTAAATTATGTATATATTAAATTATAACCTTTCTCTTATCTAAACTATATTGAATTCTTCTTGTTTTAGAGGCTTTTAGACAACAATCCCTTGTAATACAGAGAACGACTTAGAACATTCTATAATAGTGGCTTATAGCGTTTTCCACTGAGAAAACTGGTGCAGCACCAGCGCTGTGGTAGGTTTCAATGAAAACTCCATTAGTGAACTAATAGTGCAGGTTTAGTGCGGTTCAGTGGAACACATCATTTTTTGTAGTACTCGTGCATCACCGCCGAGAACCGAGATGCCTAACCTCGTTAAACTGTTTATATTGTATAGATGATTCGAAGCATCAAAGTATTATATAGAAATCTGTGAAGTAAAATTATTTATTATAAGATGGGATCTTCGAGTGACGAACTGACATTTCAACTAAATGATGACATTTTTTGTTTTAACACTAAAAAGATGAAAATAAAGGATGTCAAATCAATAAAAGGTAAAAATGTCCTCAATGAAAATATTTTACTGAAAATATAATAAAATTTTATTAAAATGTACTTGAAATTTTTTCTCAATTGGTCCTATTTTATTATTTCATCAATATTTTAATAAAAATTCAGTTTTTAGTTTAATTCAATAAATTTCATGCATGATGATCTAATATTTCAAAAAATTTGTTATTACTTATCTTTAACAGTATAATATAACTTTTCTTATATTTCGCAGTATTACATTACATTTTATAATAGAAATTATGATTTACGTTAAAGTATATTCAGTAATTTTTAAATAATTTTTATTTTAATTTTCATCAATTTCATAGTACTTTCAGTAAAATATGTCTGTCAGGGGTTTTAAATAATTTTATTACATATACTGTTTTACATATAAAAGTTGAATATAGTATATTTATTTTTAGAGGATGATAAATATGCAGTTAAATATTTAATAAACTTAATAGAGAATGAATTTATCAACCTGCAAGATCCATTACAAATCATCTACAAAATTGTAAATAATGAGCAAATTGTCATATATGAAGCAGATAAAGAGGAATCTTGTCAATTACAGTCAGAGTTAGAACAGGCTGCAGAGGAAGACGGAACCCGAGGTGCAAAAAAACGATCAGAATGGGGCAAACAAGATACCGAAATACTATTAGAAAAATATGAAATTTATGTAAAACTGGTAGGACCAATGAAAAAGTTTAAGAATAAAAAAGTAATGTGGGAAAAAATTGCTCAAGATATTGAAGACACTATAGGCCGAAAGTACACTTCCATCCAAGTAGAAAATCGATTTAAAACATTATTAAAAAGAAAGAAGGACGCAATTCAGCATAATAAACGTTCTGGCAATGACAGAGTCGATGTTCCATACGAAGACCAGCTAGAAAAAATCGCTTCCTTAGATGACAGTATCAAGCAAGAGATGTTAATGAGTATTAACAACACAAGAATACTAAAAAATAACGAATCAAGCAGCGACCAGTCTACTAGTTCATCAAGTGCAGTGAAAATGATTCCAGAGAAAAAAACTGTACACTTCCTGAAAAGAAAAATTGAAAAGGAGACAAAAGAAAATAAAAAGAAATCAGTTCAAGAAACTTTATTGGAGATACATCAATTAAAAGAAGAGAGCAAGGAAAAACGTCACAAAGAAAAACTGGCACTTATTGAAAAACTTTTTAAGAAAGATATGTAAAGTGTACGTTTAAAGATACTACTTTTTAAAGATATTAGATATTTTTTATAAAGATAAATATGTAGTTTTATACCAAAGTTTATTTTTGTTTGAGATTATATTCGAGTTTAACTACTTTAATTCTGTGAAGATAAAACGTAAGACGTTAATGTAGTTTTATACCAAAAAGTTTATTTTTGTTTGAGATTATATTCGAGCTTAACTACTTTAATTCTGTGGAGATAAAACGTAAGACATTAATGTAGTTTTATACCAAAAAGTTTATTTTTGTTTGAGATTATATTTGAGCTTAATTCTAAGTCATAAAAAGTTACTTTTTTGTTATAAAAACGAAAAAAACAAATGTTTTTGTTGCACAAAATAGTACAAACTGCTTATTTACGTACTTGTACTTCGTATTTTACAATTAGTTTAAAACTTATTTCAACTGTAATTAATATTACAATATTTATGTGGAGCAATAAAAAGTGAAGTTTATATAATAAAAGATTAGAAATTATTTTATTCAAATAAAAACAAGCTATCCTTTATGGTATTTCTTTTAGCTTCTCCTGCACTTCGGGATATAATATCATCCTCTCTCTCTGATTCCCAATTGATATTTTCATCCTGAATATAGTCCTCATTATTGATGAAATCATTCCCTTCTATACACAAGTTATGTAGAACACAAAGTGCAAGGATGTATTTACTGATTTTTTTAATTTTATGCATATCTAATCGTAAAAGTTGACGAAAACGACCTTTAAAAATGCCAAAGGTGTTTTCAATTTTTACTCTAGTTGCACAGAATTTTTTATTATAATTGATTTGACTACAATTTAAATTCGTCGTTTCCCTATATGGTATGAGTAACCACAGTCTAATGGCATATGCTCCGTCACCAAGAATATGATATTTTTTCTCACAAATATATGGTGGCTTTTCTTTTATGTCAGAAAGTGCTAAAACTCGAGCATCATGAATTTTTCCTGGAATTCCAGTAAATACATCCAAAAATCTGTTCTTATGATCACAAATGGCTTGTAATGTGACAGATGTCAAATCATGTCTATTTGTATATGTAGATTTAATTTTATGTGCGGGTGTGCGTATATTAATATATGATCCATCTATACAACCAATTACATTCGGAAATCCTGAAATCTGAAATATAATCGCATGCGTTAGACGAAAAAATAATAAGCAATATTAAATTTTTTACCTTTTGAAATTCTCTTGATAAATTTTCTTTTTCTTCTTCCGTTTCAGCCATTTTTATAATATTTTTTCCACAATTTAGTAAATAATTAACTACTCCATCCATGTGACGAAACAAAGTAGATAAGCCTATGTCAAACTTTTCAGAAACATCTCTTAAAGTACATTTATTGCAGCTAAAACTAAAGATTTTAATTTTCAACATTTTATAATAAAAATTGCAATATTTTAAAAATTTATACAGATGTATGAATATTTACCAAATAAAAGAAAGTATTTGAGTTTCAGCTGATATAGGAGTACTACCTCCGTGTGTATTATCAGTTAGATATGGCTGAGATTGCTCATAATCATTAATAATTTCGTAAACTGTAGTTCGATTTAAACGAAATCTTTCCTTAAACTTGAAAAAGAATAGAATTCAATTTCTTTATTAAAAATATGCGGAGTTTCAACTTACCTGTTTGTCAGACATTTCATGAATTACATTTTTTATATAATTCCTTATTTTTGGAATAGAATTGCGTATATGCGATAGCAAAATTTCATTCTCATCCTCCTCGCTGCTACTACTTGTAGACAATAATTCTAATAAGACACCTATTTTACTGGCATTATCCATTTTATAATTTTACCTGAGAGTAAAAACACATATAATAATTATACGAACTTAAATTGCTTATTTTATAATAACATTTTATTTATTTATTTATGTTTTTAAACATTTCAAGATTTTTAAACGTAAAATGTCTGCGCAGCTATTATATATATTTATAGGTTTAAAACTAAAAACAATTTTATTGTTATAGAGTTTATTAAAATAATGTAATATAATATTGTATATCATACCATATAAATACACATAAAGCACGAACATAACCTCTATTTCAATTTGCACTGGCTCTTTCCACCACCGTCTCGAAAGACGGTGGAGCAAAAGTCGCACTCAGTGCAATTTCTTTGCACCAATTTTGCTAGCAGAACATTAAACACTGAAAATATGTGAACTGATTTTTACAGTGGAACAATAAAATTGCACTCAGTGTGCACCAGTGTTGCACTAGTTTTCCCAGTAGAAAACGCTATTAAATTTGCAAACACCTGTAAACAAAGAAAAAAATTTTAAAAGATAAAAAAGTAACAATGTATTTTGATACACAGAATGAATCACAGAAGATGTTACTAATATTTCTGAAATTAAACGAGAAATTCTTATTTTCTAGCAACTGTTTGGTAAAGATCCGGAAAGATTAATAATCTGTTTAAAAAAAAAGAATAAAAATTTGAAGAAAAATAGTAAAAGAGTTATATTGAACTAGCACCTGTATCGCATTGCCTAAAGAAGAGTTAGAAGGCACCTTAATTTCCCTTATCCGAAGACTGACTTCAAAAACTTCGCCTCTTTAGGATCAATACTTTCTGAGATAATTGGCAGAGATAATTCGCAGAGATAATTGGCACACGAAATAAAATTTATAATAAAACCTACATATGTGTTTGCACAAGCTTTAACCAAGCCTGATCTCATTGAATGCTATAAATGATCGACAATACATAGCCGAATAAGTTTTAAACTCTCAGTTTGGAAAGTAAGTATTATGAAACAATTTAGTAAAGTACATAAAATAAAACAGATAAGTATGCAATTTAGAATATCAAAATATTAGACGATATTTTATAAGCAATGTTAGAAAAAAAGAAGGTCATTATCTTTAAATATTCATGATAGAATCTTATTAATTGTAATCCTTTATGTTGAATATAGGAAGAAAGAGATATTGTTCAATAATAAAGTTTTACAATAGTAGATTGATATCTTAAGTTAGTGGAATATTCAACTAAATAGTCTTTTAACTGAACGTTATCTCGAAAAACGTATTAATTAATTGAATTGTATTAGTATTTTCCAAATCCATTGGATGAATAAATCTTGTTTCTAGTAATCGGTATTATTAATTAGTATTTTTAAGAAAAGAACCCGAAATAACCAGATAATGATCTTAAATTATATAGAAATATTCTTAAATTAGGACACATTTTTACATCAGTATGATACCCGAATGATACCGAGAATATATCAGAAAAACATATGAATGAATAATTTGGTAGTAAATATGTATGGAAACATAACAATATTTTACTATGACTTTAGGATGGTAAATCCAGGCTTTAATATTACTAATATTACGACATACGATAGTATATCGAGATAAAGGAAAGAATAGCAAATAATATAAATCGTACACTGATTATTTAATTGATCTTCAAATATGTAACATTATTGTGAAAATTCTCTTCAAGGATAAAGCACAAGACATTATATATATTCATAACTCCATAAATGTTACGCCGGGTCGATCTCATGAAATGACGGACGGTAGAAATGACAGAAAAAACATACCTGAAAAATGCAAAACTCCTGGAAACAAATGAAAGCAGATCTCATCGATTTGTTAACGTTTTCTTAACGTCCTCAATTGAAACTTTAATACGGCGATTGTTGTAAGCGATCGTGCTGATTCGGTTTGTAGAGCTACGGTAGTATACCGCGTGATTCATTGATTTCCGGCATGTCCAAACTATCAAATCTTTGTCTAACCTGAATATGAAAGGCCAAAGATGAGAATTATTCACGGATAGTAGGACGAATACTTTCCAAGCCGGAAATCCCCAAGCTCTACGCACCTAGCTGAATTTGAAAAGCAGATCCGAAGGATCGATATATGGGTGAAGATCCGAAGGATTACTCTGAACAGGAAGATCCGTAGAATCGTTTCTTATCGCGCAGGAAAGGGTCGGAGTTCCGCCTGATCCGCTGCTAGGTGTACTCCAGCGGCACCGATCCGTCCCAACGCGATGCAGTAATTCCACTCACAGGAAAGTAGATCAGATTTCAACGAAAGAAAAGAACGTCCGAAGAACCGAGCACTAGCGCTTAGCACACGTATAAGACAGATAAAGTATGTTGAATCAATGATTTCGGTGCTGTAGCAACTCGTGAAGAAAACTAAAGAAGATCGAGACTCGCGCGATCGTAGCAATTTCATGAAAACTTCGTATGCATTACATTCAACTTCTCGATACACATCTCGAATGCTCGACTCTCGCAGTATTTTTTAAACAATATGTATATGTGTATATTTTTCATATAAATAAAACTACTTTTTTATGATAATTAGTGTAGTGCATATTTATTGAAAATAAATACATATTGCCTGAAATGAAAACAAAATATCAATAACAACTTTAAATAAATGTCAGAATTAATATTACAATAATCTTAATATAATCCCTCTCTAAAAAGAGCGTACAAAGTCGATACTCAGCGAACATTAGCATGCTGCCTGGGTTGGGATGAGTTAGGTAACGCAATTTTGTGATACAATAATTTTGTTAAGAAGAAATATAAAATTACTACCACTTAGGGTGAATTTTTGGATTTACAAAACTGTCTGTACTTGGTGCCGTAATATTATGAGAAGTGGACAAATAACCATCTATTAATATATTTCAGAAATATTATTTAATATTATATAATATTATTAAAATATTGTATTTAATGTTCTAGGATTATACCTAGAATATTTATACTTAATATTAAATAATATCACGCTTATAGTGTATGTAGAGAATCAAGAGAATGTAGTGCCAAGATTTATAACACGGCAATTTAAAGATAATAATATTTCCGTCTAGGACCTGATTGTTTTCTTCTGTAAGTTTTCGCAATTTTATTCTTTTAAACGATACAATGTATAAGTACGTGATGTTATGTTTAACCCTAGACAACACATATGAAT